GCCAAACTGGGGGGGGGGGGGGGGGGGGGGGGGTTACTGTTAGAGGGGAAATGAGCATATTTCCTAAAAGGCTTTCTCTAGCAATAACTTAAGCATTCTAAGACCAAGAAGGCTATGCCGACCTAGCTCGGAGAAAAGGAAAATTCCTAGAGATAATCTTCGAAGTCTGAAAGTATCGAATTAACTCGAAGGTAAAAGAGAATTTCCATATTCTTCGGAGAATAAGGAATATTTCCATATCGCAAATATTAAAATATTCATCAAAGGGAAAAAGGAAAAGGAGTTTGGAGCAACGGACCTCCTATTCCTATAAATAAGAAGACCCTGAAGCTGAAGAGGACAACTCATACAATCTAGAGAGCGGCAGAGCTAAAACCAGGATCTCCAATGCTTTCTAGTTTACCTCGCAAATACTTTCTTTTTATCTCGGCATAACCTCTCGGTTAAGCCATCTCTTGTAATCGCTTCGCTCATAGTTATTAATAATAGATCTTATTCTCCAAAACCCACAACTGTTAATCAAATCCTGAGTGGTGATTTTCTGGTTCAACAATTAGCATAAAACCAACAATGTTTACCTAAACCCAATATCTTTGACCAAAACAAAACGAAACCATAAGACCAACCCCAATGCAGAATTTATTAATAAGGTCTTACAAATATTTTATTATATTATTTTAGACATTAGTGTCTTAACTTAACAAAAATATACTATTTTAGATACTTTGTGTTTTTTTAAGACTTTTTTACTATTTTTTTATTCATTTTTATTACTAAGAACTTTTATTTTAAAACTTAAATCTCTCCATTAGACTTACTCTAAGAGTATCTTATTGGTAACAAACTCAAAATAAGTGTCGTAATAATAAAATATTAATATTTTGATCTAATTTAATTATGTAATTAAATTTTAATTTTTAAAAAGAAATTGAATCAGTCAATAAAAACAAATGTTCCAAGAAGTTTCTCACTTCTTTCTCTTATTAATTTATTAAAAAAATATATTTTAACGTTAAGAGCATCTAAGAAACTCTTTACTCTCTCATCTATATAAAAAATATAACTTATGTATCTAATTAAATTTTAAAATATAAAAAGGGGGCATATAACAGCTAAAGATGTTTCTCAAAGTTTCTTATTTGCGAAACCTATCTGATTTCTTTTTCTTTTATTTTTACTTTTTGTGAACTTTTTCGTTTATGAGATACTCTTCTCAGATATGTCAATGAAGGTGCTCTAATAGACCCGTTGAGAAACACATAATGCAAATGGTGTAATATCTTTACCGATTGAGGGGATTTGCAAGTACAACCCTCACTTTCACCGCCATTCCAATTCATCCATGTGTATTCTTCAGTATCACGTTACAGTGTGGTGTATAATATTTGTAATTTGCAAGGTGAGCAGGTGATATCGGTAAAGCTTGTGGGGTGGGTTTTTTTGGCTCATCGAGTACGTACTTTTCATTAACCCATTCTAGATATAGTTTAAAAAAGATAGAGCCTCCAATTTTCTTCGATCTGCCACTCAATTTATTTCACGTGGTCACTGCATAGTGTGCTATTCAACCTAGAGATTGCCCCGAAAAGATCTTTTGAATCTGATTCATACATGATGTTATTGTAGTTAAGATAGGCCGTTGGTAACTTCCCATCCCATGGCTTCTGGTTCTGTCTCTAAATCAGAACGCTAATCTTGGTAGTGCTCTTGATCCCATCCATGGTACTGTGCTTTCGTGATCCCTTTAGACCCACATTTTTTGACATTTTCTTCTCCTATGATACAGAATCATGGTATTAACCAACATTTTATTATCGACTATTTAATTGTTACCAAGATTAGCTTCTACATTTTACCTGAAAATATGTCCTATTTTCCGCAAGCAAGCTCGTATAGAAATTTATCTTGGATACATAAACAAGACAGTAATCGATGTGTTCATAATAAAATGTTGGTCAGTACGACAATCTGACTCTGTGTCGTAATAAAAGCATAAATTAAATTGCCTAAGAACGAAGGTTTGAAAACAACAAACAAAGCCTATACTAGTATTTATATCCAAAAATGGAAAAAAAATCAATAAAAATTTACTTTTTAAAATTATGTATCTGCAGTAACACCTTCCTCCATGTCTCTGCGCCTCACTTTACTATGTCATACGAAACTGATTATATAGCTTCAACTGGTGACTAAAGGAATGAGGGGGAATAATGAATTCTTCTTCATTCCTTAAAATTGTTACCATTTGCTAGGAATAAATGTATTCCTTATTAAAATTAGGGAGGAACAAAATACATTTATTTACTTCCTTATATATTTTTCATTCATATTCATTCTTTTTCTTTTGTTCCTTTGATTTTTTTTCCTTTTCATTCATATTCTTTTTTTATTGGCCACCAGTTAAAGCCTATGTGTCATACTTTAACTACAATCATAATCATTCACAATATCAATATACACACATCAATATTTGCATTACAAAATCAAAAGAAATGAGATTAAACTGATTAAATTCACTGATACCCCTGTAAACTCAGTATAAAATGGTGTGGTATGTTTTGATTATATATTACAAGTCTAATTGGTGACACAAAACAGTAATAATCTTTTAGCTATAAAAAGTGATAAATGATATAAAAGAGGTAAGATGAGTAAGTTTTAACTGGTGACCAATAAAAAACAATGCAATTAATAGAAAAAAAATGAAAAAAGAATAAAAAATTAAAATAAATTATATGTATAATATATATTACTTATAAATAGTGTAATTTTGAAGAAATAAACAAGAATCTAATGTTCATTTTCAAAGGAATGATGAGAAACATTACATTCCTTTTCATTTTTTTAAAGTTTTCATCATTTACAAGTAATATTTTTTACACATAATTCTTTATCATTCTTTCTTTTATAGGAGACTATAGAGCAAAACTATTACTCTCAAATTTATGAAAGAACAATAATTCATTCTTTTTTATTTATTACTTTTTATTATTTTCCTAGTAATTTATATTTCTGTACACCATATTTCTGAATAACCATCACAAACCTAAAACTGAATCGAACAGACAAAAATGAAAAAGCGAGTCAAATTCAATTCTCTTAAAAAATCCCAATAAGAACAAACAAAAACTGGAATCCAACCACCATAATGAACCTTACCAAACGAGTTTCGATGTTGTTTTGGTTTTGAATTTGACTTGACAAACAAAAAATGAACACGAAACTAATTAAAAAATCAAATTAGGCATATTCGGTTCTCATGATTAAGGCAACTCCTAGATTTAATTATATAGGATTGAATGATATATAGCTTTTCATGTTTTCACGTTTTATAAACATGATTCTATTAAATACATACCATTTACAATAATAAGCATTGAATAATAAAAGATAAAAATTAAAACGATATTTTCTAATTGATCTCGCACATTAAATTTATAACTAGTTTAGAAAAAAAATTATCTAATAAATACTAGCTAGTTTTTTTAGTATTTTGAATTTATTTAATTTTCAGTTTATATATCATATTGATCCCACTAGTTTATTATTCAGTTTTTCTGTTATTTTGCTATTAAATTAACATATTAGTCAAACCTTATATACTTGTTAGATTTGACTAGTATATCAATTTAATAGTATAATATGAATAACTGAATAATAAACTATGAGAATTGATACAATGAGTAAAATAAAAACTAAATAAATTCAAAATACTAAAAACTAGTATTTTAGATGAATAAACTTTTCTTTAACCTAATTTTAAATTTCTAACATGCGTGATAAATTGAAAACTAATTATCATTAAATATTTGTTATTGTGAATGGTATGCATTTAGTAAAATCTTATTTTTAAAACGCGAAAACGTGAAAAAACTATATACTTTTCAATCTCATTGATGGTATTAAATCACATCATCACCGATCTACGTATTGTACTTAAAACCAACATAAACCCTCAAAAAATACTCAAAACCCCACAAAGCATATATCTTCGAGATTTACGGAGTTTTCCATAAGAATCTCTTCCTTCAGAGGTCGTGTGGACATAATAAATACCTGTGGAAACCATAATTTAATTAGTCATTAGAACAAATTCGAAGACAAGATCTAGAGTTACAAAAAAACCCTAGATCCTAAAATATTGAGAAGATATCAATATTAAACAAACGATTCAATCATCTTTGATGAAAAAAATAAAGTTTAAGCATCAAGACTTGGGAAAAACCCCAATACCTAATCAAAATTAGTTACACAACTTTCAACAAAAACTAAGATAAACAAGATTTTAAAAAATTTACTTCTAAAAGGAACAAGATTGTGTCATATCTAAAAGTAAGGTCCTTTCCACTTCGGACTTTGATTCCATTAATGCCACACACGACCCGATCACTGCTCACAAGCCAACTGTGGCAAGCCACGTAGCGGTGTCAGCCAATCAATTCCCACGCTGCATCAAGTGAATCCGAGGCGGCCGGTAACTTTATCATCATCATTGGAAAAGATAAAAGAGAAGATTTTTATCTTGGCAAAATCTGGTTGTGAATACATTTTGGACAGGCCTTTTATGAACATAGCATACCAATCATCTATAGCGTGTCTTCTGAGATGTCTTCACTTCGCCACATCCTAATTTTCCGAGATTTTTATTCCTAATTAAATTTGAGTGGAAAGGCAGTAAGTACTGTCATGCCACATTTGGTTTTTATCGGTTTACTTAATTATTTGGATTTTATATCTTTGTAGAGATAGGTTTGAACTTTGAACGTATAAATTATTAAAAATTTATTGTTTTAAGAATTAACAAAAGAAATCATTGACTTAAGAAACTATTAACAAAAAAAAAAAACATAACCAAAAAAGAAATATCAAATTATTAATTCTTTTTTTATTTAGTCAATTAAAATGAAAAGGAAACAAAAAGATTAAAAATACAAAGTTCTATATGTATTCTCACATCAAAATAATTTTTTAGTTATCATATCATACATTATACTTTGCAAGTTTTATTTCAATGTTTTAAACTTTTTTTTAAATAAGCGAATGTTATTTTCTATTTTTTAGCTTTTAAACTAATCTTCTAGTATATACAGTATTATTTATTACGAAATACATCAGATCCGGTTTGGCTAGACTGGAATACCTACATTCACAAAGCGAAAGCACTAAAAAAGTAAGAGAGATTCAAAGTATAAAAGATGCAAGAACTTAACCAACATAGTTCACGAACTCTGGCGGCGAGGGGACCGAGCCACCACCGAGCAAAGTCAAGACCGAACCAGCAGTGCTAAAGACTCGTGGGACCACTACTCGAGCAAGCCTCGGAAGAGTTGGGTAAGTAAGAGTACCGACGATAAACCAGTTGAGGCTCATAAGTGCAACAGCATCTAAAGCCGGTTTGTTCTTGACCGTTGAGAAAAACTGAACCACACTTCTCAACGAGATACCAACCACAGTGAAGAGTGCTCCTATGAGTGGAGTACACAGCTCTTTTTCTTTAGCTCCATACATTACTATGCCCACCACGAGAGCGAGCATCGCACTGAAAACGCTTCTTGAAACCGCAATGTCTCTCTCGAAACCAAGAACTCTCGGTGTTAGTTCTTCGTCTTTCGGGATTGTCGAACTTGCAAACGGGTAAAGAGGCGACTTAACCGATGAAGACTCGGCTTTTACCTTTGACACATAAGAGATATTATCTGGCCTTGGTATGCTGTAGATTTCACTCGGTTCTTCCTCGGCTTTAACTTTACCTTTCATGCTCCAAGAGTCTTTTCTGCAAACTTCCTTCAGTTGAAGATTCTCCTCCTTTAGTTCTTGCAACTGTCACAAAGTTCCAAATGTTTTACAACATATGTATATTTGGTTACGTAACAATAAAATGTTACTAGATTCAACCTTTTAGTACCTCTGCCTCTAGCTTTTCGATTTTGGAAATGGCTTCATCATGTTCATCTTCTAGTTCATCTAACTCTTGTTCCATGATTCGATATTCTTTTATTGCTGCCCGAAGATTCTCTTCTATTTCTTTTCTATTCCATTCAAGACTCTCCACCTCATACCGCAAGTCATAAATACACTGCTCAAGCTGAAAATAATAAAAGATACCCCTCAAAAAGTACAATTGGAATGTTTAAACATCTTATCAAATTTTTTAAGAGGCTACTTTATAGCAAACCAAATAACTTCAATTTCTTGATCTTGATCAAAAGTTACCTAAATCTCTAGTTTTAAGGGAGGAACAGTAGACTTAGTACCAAATTCCCCATCCATTCATAATTTATCTTTGATTGATTATGAAAGGCCAGTACCAAATCTTGCACATTCATTTGAAAAGTGTAGTCCTTCCAATCAAAATCAATAAAAGCTTACTAAAACAATTGAAATTCGCAAATATATTTAGGATCAGTATCAAACCTTGCACATTTCAATGAGAGTGAATAACTTTTTTGTTAGAATCCAGCAAAGATTACTAAAAAAATACAAGAAAGGTTTGCAAACCGAAACGAACCAGTCTTTCCCTTGGTATAGAAGCCAAGAAGCGAATCGGAAAGGTAAAGAGGAGAACAGTTCCCCAGATTGTGCCCCAGACAGCTCTCCAGAACATACTTAAGTTGAACCAAATAGCAGAGCTCACCATATCAGTAGACACAAAGGTTGTAACAAGAGCTGTTCTAACACAGAACACACATGCAGATATGCAGAAAAAGAAAGGTCTGGTCACTAGATAAACTGAAGATGAGACCAACCCAGAAACCAAACCCCCGAGATCCATTTTTCTTCACAGACCAAAAAAGTTCCTTTTAACAACATGAACACACACAAAATGAGTCATTAAGTAAAGGAAATTCCAAGATAACTTTTTTTATTTAAGGTTAATCTTCATCCATGGAAATTCAAGATTGAGAATTTATAGCTTAAGAATCTGAATTGTTGACTCTCAATAAGGCTTTAATGCTCCAACGAACCTAGACGAATAGATGATTCTAGTTCTTATATATAGAAGCGGCATCAAAACTCCAACAGCAAAATCCCATAAAGGAAAGGATACATTGAAAAAGCTTACCTTTTTTAGGCGAAGAGTAGGAGTGGGAGTAAGAAAAGAGGTTGTGGCGATTGAACCACTGGAGAAAAGCATAGGAAAATTGATAGGGAAAGAGACAGGGATGTGGCAGAGAAATGAGAGCCATGCATGAGCATCATGACACGTTGAATGTATTTCTTAGGTTATCCGGATTTTGGATAAAGATCAGTGTTTTTTTAAATTTAAAATATTCTTTTGTTAGAACAAAAATTAATTAAAAATTACAAAAGCGTTACATGAGGAAAAAAAAAACAGTGTTTCTTTAAATTTAAAATATTTCTTTCTTAGATAGTAATTTTTAGCTTTTTAAATTTATTTAATTTCTAGCTTATTTATTTTATTAATTTACTAATTTATTATTTAACTATTTTATTATTTTGTTATTAATTTACTTTTTATTATTTAATACTTCTTATTTTTATTATAAATAATATATATTTAGTACGTTTTTCATTTTAAAATAAGTGTTATTTTGATATTATTCACAAAATTTTTTTTTTTATTTTTTATAAATACATTAAACAATTCTCTTTTTTTAATTAATATATTAATATTATAAGGTTGAAACTGGATATTTGGTTATAAATTTACATTAAAAATCCAAAACGACATTCTTTATAAAACAAAAATAAAATTTTAAAATAACACTTTTTATGAAACGAAAGAAATATAATCATATTTTCACGTTAAAATTATAATTATATACTATTCAATTCTAATATAATATAAACATTTAATATAATAAAAAAACATTATGTTCAAGCATAACACACACAAACAAATCAAATCGAACATTTTGATATCTAAAAATATTTTGATTTTGTTTTGATTCGGTTTGGTTCTGAAATTACATTGGAAAATTAAAAAAATGTTATTGATATATGTATTTAGTTGGTTTAAAAATTTATATAATCTTTATTAAATTTATTAATATTTTAAATCTAATATGTTGATTTTATGAAATTATAAGTTTAACTTTGAATTTGAGTATTGGTAACTTTAACATAGAAATCTTTCTAAATTCACTAAACATCTCTTTAAAATCAAATTCGTGATTTTAAAATCATAAATCATTAACACAGAATTTAAATATAAATTTTAAATTTATAAAACTAATAACATTGAATTTAATTAAATTTTCTAAATCCATTAAAATCACAAAACCAATAACTCTTACTAAATGAAATTGAATAAATTCGAATTTTTATATAAAATGATACAAATACAATTAGCAAAGTTTATCCCCCAATGCCAAACAAGCAGATTCGGACGAGAATTGTGGCTTCCATAAGAAAAATTAAAGCAAAGCCCATTTAAAATTCAATCCATTTTCACATTAAAGTTGGCGGAAATTTTTCGATTAGAATGAAGAGGTATAAAAAATTTCAAATTTTCGATTAGAAAGAAGAGGTATTTTTGGAGATTGAAAATACATTTAAATATTTTTGTTTGTATACAGATGCCGGGTTTGCTCCTTTCTCGGCATTACGCGGAAGGGATGGAGTTAAAGGTTGAGGAAATGATAAAGTCGATTAGAAAGAAGAGGTTTATGATGCATTTGATGAAGTTTGAGGAAATGGTAAAGTCGATTAGAAAGAAGAGGTATATGATGCATTTGAAGAAGTTTGAGGAATTTGTAAACTTGATTAGAGAGAAGTCTTTCTTGAATTTCGGTTTTGGCAAGATCTCACGGTTACTCGATTTAAAGATAAGTAAGATATTAAAAGAATGCTTCTCATGGTGCTTGATGGTCGTAGGAATGGTTGCAGTTAAAGATATTCTGAATTGTACGTTTATTAACAGAGGGTGGTCATAATATATACACAATACAGTTAGGATCCTCTATTGAAGATCAGGAGAGATCTCATAGAGATAACTTTCACAAGAGATAATTACAACAATAGAGATAAACACAACTTATACTGATACACCCCCTCAAGATGGACGGCCATTTGAAAGTCCAATCTTGTCTGTCAGTTCAAGAAATCGAGCGCGAGGTAACGGCTTTGTGAGTGTGTCGGCAAGTTGATCGGTAGAGCTGATATGAGAGACACGAAGGACATTACTCTGTATTCGTTCACGAACAAAGTGATATGCAAGGGCAAGGTGCTTCATTCTAGAGTGAAATACAGGATTTGCACATAGGTATGTGGCGCCAATATTGTCACAGTAAATTGTTGGAGTTGATGACGAACGAAGACGGAGCTCAGACATCAGAGAAATAAGCCATTGGACCTCGGAAACTGCTTCAGAGACAGCACGGTATTCGGCTTCAGTTGACGAGCGAGAGACCCCCTTCTGTTTCTTAGAGGACCAAGAGATTGGTTGTTTGCCGAGATACACAATGTAGCCGCCGGTGGAGGAGTAATCGTCTTTGTTCCCAGCCCAGTCAGCATCGGTATAAGCATGAAGATTGAATGGAGTGTGTGCAGAGTAAAAAATTCCTTTGTCTGCAGTGCCACCAAGATATCGGAGCACCCGTTTCATTGCTTCCTCATGAGCTGTTGTTGGACGATGCATATATTGAGATAGCCGATTGACAGCGAAGGCAATATCAGGGCGCGTTAGGCTGAGATATTGTAGGCTACCAATTGTAGCTCTGTAAGGTGTTGGATCAGGAAGTTCCGTGCCAGAGGTGAGGGTCAGTTCCTGAGTGGAGCACATTGGCGTAGCAACTGGCTTGGCGTTTGTCATGTTGTGGCGATGAAGCAGATCTGTGATGTATTTGGTTTGTGTAAGAAGGAGACCTTTCTCTGTTCGCGTGGCCTCCATGCCAAGGAAGTACGACAAGTTCCCCAGATCTTTAAGGGAGAAACGTGTTGCCAAGAGCTGAATAACTCGCGTCACTTCAGATGTAATTGAGCCTGTAACAATAATGTCATCAACGTAAATCAGGATGTAGATGAGGGAAGTACCAAGGCACAGGACGAACAGAGAGGTGTCAGCGAGAGCGTTGATAAAGCCAGCTTGGAGAAGAAACGTGCGCAACTCATTGTACCAAGCCCTTGGGGCTTGTTTCAACCCATATATTGCTTTTCGAAGACGACAAACGTGATCAGGTCGATCTTTATCAACAAAGCCAGGAGGCTGTGTCATGTACACCTCCTCGATGAGATTGCCTTGGAGAAAGGCGTTATTAACATCAAGTTGGCGAATGGTCCAGTTTTTGCCAACAGCAGCACCTAGGACCAGATGAATGGTGGCATGTTTGATGACAGGACTAAAGGTCTCTTGGAAATCGATCCCAGGTCTTTGATGAAACCCTTTCGCCACGAGTCTGGATTTATACCTGTCAACAGAACCATCTGGTAAACGTTTAATACGATAAACCCACTTACAGCCAACAATGTTCTTTGCGAGACTACGATCAACAAGGTCCCAAGTGTGATGAATGCCATGAGCATCATATTCAGAGCTCATAGATTTCCTCCACTTTTCCTCTTTTAACGCTTGAGTATGATTTGCTGGTTCGATCTCCTTGAGGACAGCCGTTAAGCCAAGCTTGGGTTTGGGCTTGTTAGGTGGATAGTACTTTGGGTTGGGTTTGTGAATGTCATTCTGCGCCCTTGTTGTTATAGTACGCTCTATGGGAATGGGTGCTGGCTTCGAAGGAGGTTTAGGTGTGGATTCAGGTGACCCTGCAGGCATAGTTGATGAGGGTGATACCTCTGTTGCCGCACTTGAGGAGACCGGTGACATGGAAGGAGTGTCAACAGCTTCAGACAATGTGCGAGGCTCCTCCAATGTCTCAGAAGATTCGCTGGGTGAAGGGGCCTTGCTCGGGACAATAGTTGTGTCGTGTGGCCGATGAAAGACAGGAACAAGAGAGGCTGAAGGTGAATCAGAGGAAGAGATTTCACGAACAGAAGTAGAAAGTGATACGTTATTGATGAGAGTGGAATAAGGGAATACCGTTTCATGGAAGGTGACATGTCGTGAGACATAAAGATGAGATGAGGTAACATCAAGGCAAAGAAAGGCACTTTGAGAAAGAGAATAACCCAGAAAGATACACGGCATGGACTTTGGACTGAATTTATTTTGACCGTACGGTCGAATCCAAGGGTAGCACAAGCAACCAAATGTACGCAGTTTGGTGTAGTTTGGCGTCGTCTTGAACAGGAGCTGAAATGGTGATGAGTGGGCGAGATTAGGTGTTGTCAACCTGTTGATTAAGTACACCGCCGTGGTAAATGAGTACGACCAGAATGTATTGGGAAGTCCTGCATGAGAGAGCAAAGTCATCCCCGTTTCGACAATGTGACGGTGTCTCCGCTCCACCATGCCATTGTGCTCCGGCGTGTGAGGTGGTGTAGTGAGATGCGCGATCCCGTTGGTTGCCAGAAACGGACGTAGAGCTATAAACTCCCCACCATTGTCCGAATAGAAAGTGATAATTTTTAATTTGAATCGGTTTTCCACCAGTGTTTTAAATGCAATGAAGACTTGTGCTACCTGAGACTTGGCTTTCAACGGATACAGCCATGAGTATCTTGTGAAATGATCAACAAATAAAACATAGTATTTGTAACCATCCACAGATATGATCGGAGAAGTCCACACATCGGAGTAAACAATTTCAAGAGGTTGAGAGGAGGTGAGAGAGGAAGTAGCAGAAAACGGGAGCTTGTGACTTTTATTACTGGAACAAGAGTTGCAAATTTGAGAAAGCGATAAATCAGAAGTGGGTAAAGCAAAAGCAGAAACAAGATGCCGAAGTGTTTGAGAATTTGGATGGCCTAATCTAGAGTGCCAATTTGACAAAGAGATTTTATTGCAAAAAAAAGCTGAAATAGAATTTGGAGAAGCTTTCATCGGCCACTCATACACCCCTTCATCGTAACTGAATTGTACGTTTATTAACAGAGGGTGGTCATAATATATACACAATACAGTTACGATCCTCTATTGAAGATCAGGAGAGATCTCATAGAGATAACTTTCACAAGAGATAATTACAACAATAGAGATAAACACAACTTATACTGATAGTAGTAGTGGTCGTGTTACTTCACATCTGTGTAATCCCGCATGTATTCACTGAGTGGCTCATTCAAGAGCATCCCCCTACATCATATTTGGAGGTGAAGCTCTTAAACGAAAATCCCCCATGTTATATTATTTTTTATACGTTCGTAAACAGGTTTGAGTTTTCACTTTTCACCAGTCTTTGTATAACATTTTAGATTATTTTTGGGGTTGAGTATTATTAAGGTTAATGATTCGACAAGCTTTGAGTTTGGAAAAAGATTTTATATTATTTATTTCTTTTGTGTAACGAAAGAGAACAGTGATACAAAGATATAAGTATTTTTTTTTCAAATTTTGGTCGTTGTTGATGCTGAAATATATTTTATTTAGGTATAAATCAAGGTTTCCTGTACATTGGAAAACAGCCACTGAAATGAAACATGTGAAAATGCGTCTTAGCAACATTAGCTCATTTTTAGAAAAAAAGAGACAACATAAGCACACTGAACATGCGTCTTAGCAACATAAGCACACTGAACACACTAAAACATTACAATATTATTTAATTACAGTATAAAGACTTCATTATTATGTACTGAATCTGGTCCGGTAATTGCAAAACGAAATATTTACTGGTTGCATGTGACAGAATCCAGGCTCTCTCCTCCTTGAACATTTTTAATTATAAATTCTGAAGACTTCCTTAGATTTGCCAACGCCCACTCACTCATCGCGAGTCCTGTTTTACAAACCATGTTTTTAAATGTAGGTTGTTCCACCATGTCTGGATATGTTATCATTTCTTGACTATAAAAGAAGCTTCTGAATCTCTGAAGGTCTAAGATATTAGACTCAGGAGGCTCAAACTTCAAGTTTTTTATATGTTTGTCAAATGACTCATATAAGCTCTTGACGCTGATCGCTGGGACTGGAGGGGAGATGGTCTCAATGGATGATCCCTCGTATTTCAATTCGATCGCTGTGTAACTAGGGAGATCAACAACTCGTAGTTTATGCAAATCACAAATCTCTGGCAAACTATGCAAGTTCTTACAGCCGTGAAGATCAATTTCCTCGAGGTTTCGAGCTTTTGAAAGTTCATCAACTTCAAGAAGTTTCTGAGAATGTCTAAGGTTGATTCTTCTCAGCATCTTTAGGTTCTGAACAAAATGAAAACAAGCACAGTTGAAGCATATATGGCTAAAGGAATAACATTAAAAATATTTTTGAACTTTCATTTGAGTTTGCTTACTTTGGTTCCTCCTCCCCAAAGAGTTTGCAGTTGACTGTAAGGCATATTAAGTTCAACAAGGTTGCTTGGATCAAAATCTTGTGGTAAGGACTGCAAAGGGTAATGGTCCCAAAAGAGAAACCTAAGCCCATAAGGCAGAGAGAGAGACTCGAGGGCCTTGCGATGGTTTCCAGGATTAGAGTCGTTAATCTTCAGGTATCAAAGGTTATACATAGATCCGAATGAAGAAAGTTTGACATAAGGGTTTAAGTTAGATGCATCCAGAGATATTGCTTCGATGTCTTCAGTGCCCTGAAGTAACACAACATAATAGGTTATGGATGATCAAAGAGAGAAGATTTAAAACTTAACTTGGTTGGAAAAATGGCAGGACAAGACATACCAATACACATTTAAAACTTGTTTTGGGGTCTTCTTTAATTTTATTGAGCTGATGACACCTCCCAATGTTTCGGACAACGTCTTGAATCATGCTATGCATTTCCAATCTGTTTTCTGAAATAGTCACCAAAGAGTTCTCCACAAGCCGGTCGATTCCAATATCTGGAAAGAACCCAAGCTCTTGAAGTATTTTCGATACCTTTTTTATACTTACACCTGTGAAGAAAGAAGCAATATACACAAGTATGTTCTTCTCGTTGTCACTAAGTGCATAGTAGCTACTCTTGACTACTTCCATAATCTGATGTGGAGGAGATTGCTTGAGCTTGAGGAACAAAGTATCTTTTTGACTTGGTTGCTTCTGTGATGACATCTCTTTGCCGTATACTCTTAGAGCTAAAGGGTTTCCATTAGCGTATTCGATCACCTTCATAGAAGTTTCTGTAAGATGATTTGTCTCTCTCACATCTCTTTCAGAGGCACACCAGGAGAATAGTTGCATAGCCTCGAGCTTGTTTAATCCTTCAACTTTGTAAGTTTCGTTGACTTGACACTGAGAAAGCACTTGCTCATCTCGGGAGGTTATGATGATCAGACTTCCAGGACTAAACGAGACAAGCCCAGCGAGAAAAGACTCTGCATGTAAATGATTCCTCACGTCATCAAGAACAACAAGAACTCTTTGTTGAATTTTTTGATTTGGAAGATTCTTGAAGTGTTCTTGCAGCAAACGGTAAAGTCCCTTCTCTTGAAAGGTTTCATGAAAGTTTTGGAGTAAGCAAGTTACTTTAAAGTCACCAGATATTTGGTCAAAGATTGCTTTAGCAACCGTTGTTTTACCTATACCTGGCATACCCCAAAGTCCTATGCTTTTGACTCCCCATTGTTGCTTGCATAGCAAGTTTTCTATATCCGGAAGCATCGTTGAGTAGATGCCGATTCGTTCTGTTGGAAAGATCTTCTCATAAACATCTCTAGCAATCTTTTCCACAAATTGGCATTCACTACAAAAAAAAAAAAAAAACAAATCATGCAATCGCCTTTATATAGTAGGGTAGGGTTTGGTTAGAATCGGGTGTAATTTTGGTTTATGATCGGGTTTCGTCGGTTTATGTTGTTTTTAAACAACCCCAAATTTCAAAATCAGTGTGGAAATAGATAGATAGATAACTTTGCTCAAAATTAGGATGATCTACCCTTTTTCCCAATTTATATATACCACCCAACATTTCTGAAGCTTTACATTTTGACTTTTGTAATTCAACTATTGTTTAATGCAATGTAGACGTTGCATAAAAAATAAAAAATAAAATCTTTTATGTGTAGAAAAATAGATTTACATTATCAACACAACAATAACACTAAAGTCTCTTCATAGCTTGACAACTCAGCTATTTCAAGTTACCAAAAACTGACACATCAACAAAATTAACAACCAATCAAAATATTTTATTAATACACATCATCTACTAATATTTATTATTTTTAACTTAAACCCATTAAAAGCCCAAATATTTTTTTTTGTTAATCTTTATTTTATTTTTTGCCAAACTCAAGCCCAAATAATAAATAACAGCAAAAAAAAAAATTATTTTATTTTTTACCATCCTAAAATCCAAATAATAAATAACAACAAATAAAAACATTAAATCTTTGTTTTATATTTTTGTCAAACTAAAACTCAAATAATAAATAACAGAAAAAATTAAAATTTCTAACTATGTGCTTGCTTGATAGAGACTTATATGATTAAAGAAAGTGTAGACTCATCATAAACTATGCTTCCATAACAACAACGCAAAAAGCGTTATGTTATAGGAAGCTCACACATCAGCAAAAATTTAAATCAATAAAAACATAACAATAATACATATCATTAACACACTAATAAAATTAGTTACTATTTTCTGACCCATTAAAAAGCCCAAAGTTTAAAAAATATAGAAGTCGAAAGCAAATGAGGAGAAGCTCAGACCACCACAGCTTAGAGATTCGCATTTCCGGTGGTTACCGAGAATAAATTTTCTTGGGTTTGGCAGGAATAGAGAATTTCATGCTTTTGGTAGGAACATGTGATTTTCAGTTTTGGTAGAAAAACATAATTTCTCAATTATGACGGAAAAAAACGAATTTTTGGGTTTGGTGGAAAAATGTGAATTTTTGGTTTTGGTAGAAAAAAAAATTTTGATTTTGAAAAGGAGAGAGAAATGCAACTTTTCAATTTTGACGAAAAAATACGATTTCTCAGTTTTGATAGAAAATACAAAATTTTGGCTTTTGATGGATAATGTGATTTCTTGATTTTTGCGGAAAAATGTGATTTATTAGTTTTTACGGGAAATTGTAATTTGATGATTTTGGCGGAAAATGCAATTTCTCGATTTGATGGAAAAACAAAATATCTTGATTTTTGTATGAATAATCAATTTCTCGGTTTTAATGGGAAATATAAATTTTCAATTCTGACATATAATGTGGTTTTTTGGTTTTCACGGGAAAATGCGATTTCTTAGTTTTCGCGGAAAACACAATTTCTCAAGAGATAATACAATTTTTGGTTTTCGCGAGAAATTATACTTTATCGGTTTTGGTAAGAATGCGTGATTTTTGGTTTGACATATTTTTTTTTGACGGGAATAGACGATTTTGCGAAAAATAGTTTTTTCGGTTTTGACGGGAAAATACGATTTTTTTATTTTTGTAGGAAGATGAAATTTTTTGGTTTTAGTGAAAAAACTTGATTTCTCTGTTTTGGCGGGAAAACATAGGTTCTCGCGGGAAAATGTGTTTTTTTTTTGGTTTTGGTGGGAATAAGCGATTTCTCAGTTTCGTGGAAAAATGAAAAAAAATTTTGTTTTGTCGGAAAATTCAATTTCTAAGTTTTTGTAAAAATATAAAATTCCTATGTGCTAAATTTTCAAGTTACAATATGTTTACAGTAACCAAAATTGAATTATTTAACTTCAACTAACTTAACTAATATTTCAACAGTTCAAACATAACTTTCTATTTAGTTTTAAAGCAATATCAATGGTTTTGATATGAATGTTATTGACTATAGTTTGATATTTTTAGAAACATATGTTTATAATAAATATTTGATAAATAAATAAATCTTATAATTCAAAATAATCATATTAATTAATACATTTTTAAAACGGCAATTTGCTTTATATAATTTCAAAAGAAGATCAAGTGGTAATTTAGTAGAAAATATATTTTATATTTACCATTAATATGAAGGTACTTAAAAATGTATTGTTTTATTCTTACATATATATTTATATATAGTTAGTTAAACAAATTTGATAGTAGATTATAATTTTGAAAAAATAAAAAAAATTAAAGTTATATAATGTTTATTCAGATTTAAAACATATTAATACATAACTTAAGCTAATAAAAATAAATATAATACTCATTTACATTATAAAATAATTTTATCATAATATAATTATACAAAATCTAGAAAAATATCTCACAGCATAGCGCGGGTAAATACCTAGTTTAACATATAATTAAGATATACAACTATCAATTTGTGTAACTTTTATGACGTTGGCTTAATAAACCACAAAAAAAAAGTTGTTTCTAACCTTTGATTATTGCTTTCTTCGTGGCCAGGTAAGGTTGCAATTTCTGCAAGAGCGTTGCGCCATTGACTTGCTTGATATGTTGTCCGATGCTCGGCGAAATTTCCCTTCAAATCATGCACATTTGATCTACTGACTCCATAGAAGACAGTGATCACCACATGGCCTTTGTCGTGTCTTCGTCGGATAGCCTTTAGGAAATCATGCAAAGTTTCCTTGGAGGACAAGTTCTTCGAGAATATCAAAACAGAAGCAATGGACTCGTAGAATTCATCATGTTTATCTGTGAGCACGGAGATGCCTTTACGACCTAAAGCAGTGGATAGATGAGGGACGAGGGAGCATTTTATTGTCTCATCCGAGACATCGTAGCTGATTTTGACCACGTTGCGAGCTAACATGACTTGAAAAAATCTTAAGATTGGTGGATTTTTGGAAATGATCTGTTTCTGAGAACAAGGGATGTTGAACAACATTCTTAACAAAGAGGGCAACTTGATGATGTAAATATTTTTCTTTTTAAAGCTTTCCGTAGTAGTTGCCTGGTAGGTCTTATTCGTATTTCGTAGCAAAGCTCTACTTTAAAAGCAACTTGAGTTTTATTTGAATTGAACGGTTGTTAACGGTAACACTCCATTTCTTTGAACAAGTCTTAGCATAAACTAATAATTTTTAATATTAACACCATACAATTAAGATGAATAAGGCTGTTTCCAAGTTGTGTTGTTGCTGCAGGCTCATTCTTTGAAGGTTCATATTTAACTTTGCATTGGCCATAGAATATAAATAAAAACTTAATAAAGAATAAACAAGTTGACATTCCACCAACCATAGGGGAACTAGTGGCACAATTAAAAGACGTTTACCTCTGGGATTACGCAGATTGTGTATATTTATGAAGAGTAATGGAATCTTTAAACGATAAATAAATAAGAGTAATCGTTTGCTAATTGCATAATGGCTTGAATTATAGTTATAATAAAGCGGTAGATTAAAAAACACAAAACTGTAAGCGACTTAAGTATGCGCAAGGAGGTAATATTAGTGGTTTTGTTGCCACGATCCATTGAGACTCAATCTTGTTCTCGTTATGATTCAGACTAGAAGTAACTAAAGAACATTAGAAGACTAGTGGACATAGACAATACCAAATTGTATTGTACTTTGTTTACGTTTAATACGATCGAATGCTGATTGATCTTGTTTTTGTGACTGCAATAATTTGAAGAAAACACTAAAAAACACCCCTCGGCTGTAACGAGTTTCTTACAATCGTGAATACATACGCAAGGCTTTTTACCGCTATTCACTGTGTCTGTGTGGTGATGATGTGGTTACAAGTTTCTTACTATCTCTCTCTTTCTTACAGCTCTAAGAACTCAGGAAAGGAGAAGAAGAAGGAAGAAGAAAAAGACACCGCACACACTTGTTCTCTGTTTCTTCAAACTGTTAGTTTGTTAAATGCTCAAAAAAAAAGATAAAACACTAATTAACTAACTAAAACTGGATGGTTAGCCCATACCCATGTATGGATATGATTTTTTTCAATAGATATAATTAGTTATAATATTTAAATGATTATGCAAAATTATCTTTGTATACAAATGCAATCTTAGTGTTTTACAACAATCACATAAACTTTTCATATAGTTTGTTCCCTTTAAAACCGATTTATATTAAATGTTTTTATTATTTTAGCGTTTATAATAACATATAATTATAAATGTAATAGTTATGTTAAATAATATTTAAAAGTTTATGATATTTTTTGAATATTATCTATATTATGCTCTATTTTTCTTTACACAATATAAATGTGCCAATACATATATATTTTACGTAAATATATTTTTTTGATTAATTGCAAATTAAATCGAAATTAGTTCTTTTATCTCTGCTTATCTTAAGAGCGGGTAGATAGCTGACAGCCACATGAGTGCGTACCTACCACCTCACCGCTGTTAGGACAAATAGAGGTTAAAAAATTATAAGTTGTCTAATAATTAAAACTAAAATTGGACTATAACGAGGTTAACAAAACACAAACACGAGCAATTCGCATGCGACTTCGACTTTTAAGCAATTAATATTCATGTTCGCACACATATTTGTAAAAAAAATAGAAGTATAGCTTTTATGTGTTAAAAAAACTAACAAAGTATATGTTTTATAATATATATTTTTATAATATGTAGTTCAATTTTATAAAGAAATAAATATGTATATTTGTGCATGCATATATGGGATAAGTAACTAATAATATGTAGGTGCAGTATTTAACCTTTAACAACAATCACGAAAACTGTTTATGCCGTTTTGTATTTAATCAAAATTTCTTATTTTTTAGTGTTTACGATAATAGATGGTTTCAAATTAAATATTATATTAAATATTAACAAAAATTACAACAAACTTAAAATAAAAATTTGAAATCCTAATTTGGTGTATTTGTGTTATAATTTTACATTTCATTTAGTTTTGATTCAGCAAATAAAAATATTTATTTATATTAAGAAATTTGAAATAAGTTTTGTTGTGGTTATGACAAGTCAGTTTTTTTTTACTAAAGTGACGTATCAAACAATTGTAAGGATGCATGGGCCTGCGTTATTCGGCAATCCCCTCAGTTTCGAGGCTTGCCTGTTAATTCAATCTCAAAACGAAGCATGTCATTTAAAAAGCAGAAAGAAAGAACCATCCGCGATAACCACTCGATCCAAACCAGACATTATAATTGAACTAAACATACAGTAGAAACTCTATAAATTAATAATATTGAAATTTTGATATTTTATTAATTTATAGAGTTATTAATTTATCGATTTTAAATAAAATAAATTATTTATTAATAATTAGTTAAAATAATATTTTATTTAAAATTTATAATATTTGCCAAAATGTCCATTATAAAATTAGAGATAAATGATAAAAATATTCTAATTTTAATATGAAAAACAAAAATATATTCATAGTTTAATAGATTATCATAATTATATATTTATATAAAATTATTTTATATGATATTTATTAATTTATGAAATTAATGAGACTATATTTTACATAAATTTTTTAAAAAATTATTATCTTATTAATTTATCGATTTATATTAAATTTTGAACCAGCCCAATTCAGGACCGAGCAAAATTATTGATTTATCGAGTTTATTAATTTATCAAATATTAATTTATAGAGTTTCTACTGTATATATATTTAAGGGATAAATATTTATTTAAATAATCCATTTGGCATTTTTACTACAAAATAACTTTTTTTAGTAAGGATAAGAAGATTTAAAAATCTGTTCTCGATATTTTTTTCAAATTCTTTGAAAAGCTTTGTTAATTGAGTTTGTAAAAAAATTTATATTCATGATAACCTTCTGGTTGATCTCTCGTTGTAACCATCTATTGGTGACTCATGATGTTTAATAAAAATTCTAATCAGAGTTAAACAAAAAAAAACTTTTCATAAAATGACATATAAAAGGGTTTACTAATGTGCATTCAGTCTGCAGTTATTCTGTTATTAATTTGCATTTAGTCTGCAAGTAATTTGTATTTAATCTATTTTCAATTGTATGACCAGTTAGTATATCGATAGTTTTTATTTAGTCTGTAATTAGTCTACATTAAAAACTAGCCACAAGGATAACGTTGATTATGCTATTTTGTAACGCTGGTATTTTTTTAAAAATGGTTATTTTTTATAATTTTTCTATAGTGAGATATATGTTTCATATTATTTTCTCATTATGGATATTTTGGATTAGTTCCTCTATTTTTTTTTAAAAAAAAATATATATATATATAGATATATTTATCTACTAACAAACGAGTACACAAATGAACAAAGAATGTTTTTTGATAGTAGAATACATATATAAAGACGTAAAAACCTTACATCACAAACAAAATAAGTTTTCTAAGTATTCAAATACAAAAGTTAGTTTAAAAGCAAGCAATGTTTAGAAGATATAACATATTTTATCTAGATGCAATATTCAGATCAAGAAACGAGCTTTTATATTAAAAATGTTTGTTATATTCATTAACCACAACCACCTCTATTGCCACGATTTATGTTGAGTATTTTCTCTTATGATTTCTTCTTCCGTTGGTATTATGAGATTCATCGGTTCAGACTCCTCGTCCAAAACCTGCATTTCGTCTTCATCATATGAATTCCTCAATGAAAAAAAACTCGTCTGATCCAAAATATTTGCTAGACTAAGACTTGTGAAGAGTGGTCAAGGACTCAAGGTTCGAAGTAAATATCTTTCTTGATAATACCATGGTAGCTGAAATGGTGCTTTTCTTTCTTAAAAGTGTGCAAGTGAACATGGTTATGGTTTTGCTCATTGGGATCAAACTTTTACGCAAGTCCGTGGCACAAAACTTATTAACTTTTACGCAAGTCCAGTTCTATTACTATACCCACCGATACTTTGCAAAGAACTCTAGTACGTCGCTCTTGTCCATTACATTGGTGTCTAATGTGACTAAAACCAAAAAGGTAACTTTATAACGACATTTTTTAAAAAAAATGAAGGAAATATTATAAAAGTTATTCACGTAACTGTGACATCTAAAATTCTGGTTCTTCCTAGTTCCTACAATAGCAGCCGTTTCTCCAGATTTTATTATTTTTCAAGAAAATTGGTCCCTTATTCCTAAAGCAAAAATTTCTAAAACAGTTTTAATCATGTTCCGTTGCACTCGCATACCCCCCTAAAATCGCCCTTGTTCTTATTCAAAAAAAAAAAAAAATATCGCCCTTGCACCTAGCAATACCGTGCAAATATCTCTAGTTCAATGCGACTAAACAAAACCAAAATTGAATACAGTAATGGTCATGAAAAATAAAACTCCCATTTGGCACGGGTTTGTTTAAATATAAAATAAATAAATCCTCAAAAGTCTGAAGTCTTCTTCCAAAGTAAATTCCCATTTGGCATGTGTTGTGTCTTAAGAAAATTTCAAGAATTAGATCGTGGAACGAACTTAGATTACATGTTGTTGACTTGTCAACATTGTCCTATACTACTTAACAAGAAACTATGACACTTTCCATTTTCTCACACATTGTCTCCTTGTCTCCAAACTATAATCCAACAAAAAACAAACCTTAAAAAATGGTCGTCCAAGAACCATTAGTGTTTCTTAATTTCCGAGGTGCTGATGTGCGCGACAGCTTCATCAGTTTTCTGGTGGATGCTATGAGAATCGCTGGGATCAAGGTGTTCATAGACAATGACGAAATGAAGGGAGAAGATCTAAATATTCTTTTCCGTAGGATCGAAGAATCAAAGATTGCACTAGTTGTGTTTTCGAGAAGGTACATGGAATCAAAGTGGTGTTTGAATGAGCTGGTGACGATCAAAAAATGTATCGATGAAAAGAAACTTGTGGCTATTCCCATATTCTTTAAGGTTGAGCCTGATGAGTTAACAGAGCTTCTTGATAATGCATGTCGTGAGATTCATGGCAATGCGCACGACACTCACATTATGAAGAAATGGATGGAGGCATTGACGTGTATTAAGTCTAAGACGGGCTTGACTTTCAAGGAAAAGAGGTACATTGCTTTAAAATCCCCTTCACATTAAATCGCACGTGCTATTTTTTCAGGATTGTAATTTATAGGTGAATGTGTTAAATTGTTAATCCTTACATATGATGGAAGAGTGTCTGTAGCCTTTTGTGATTATGCTTTATGCTTGTGAACTTTTGATGTGACAGTTAAGTAGGGGAGTCATTTGGTTTTTGTATCTTCTTAATTGATGTGGATTATTGAAACAAATAATTATTTTGTGGAATTCCTTTGATTCTTAAGATTAAATAAGTGGATTTCATGTTCAAACGTGTATATTTTTTAACCACTACAATTTAGAAATCTGATCAACATAACAAATATTAAAATAAAAAAAAGTATTTCTAAATCTGTTACAATTTAATATGAAATCAAGTATTTGGTCAAATACAATGAGAAATGAATAAACTGGATTTCCATCAGTTTCTTATAGAAATTATTGAACAACACGAGATTTTAGAAAAAAAAAAGAAAATATATTCAATTAGTATACAATAAAACAAGTTTTTTTTATTGAATTTTCAAATCAATTAAAAATTAAAATACCCAAGCTAACCTCCCCCTCTTACTTTTTGGTTTGATAGAATTGGTTTTAAATATCTGGTTCTTTCAAATTTCCCTGGTTTGGAAGTATTACCGAAGAATATAGAAATTTATTTTGTTCACTATTGTTCCGGTTTAGTTTGCTTTACTTTTGTTGTGATTTAAAAGAAAACAATATCAAGCCAAATACAAAAGAAGTTACGAATAAATATATGATTTTTAATTGGTGGTATTCTATTAATTAATATCAATATTAAATATATACAGTAATCGAGTTGTGGACTAAAAATGGATATACTGTAGTAACTGGTTTTTGGTATTTGTTTTAGTTGGAATGTTAATTAGATTAGGTATATAACTCGTGCTACGCGCAAATCAGTATTAATAGTTTGGTTTATTTTTTTTAGCTACTATCTTTAAAATTATTAAAAATTATATATATTTATAGAAATTTTCATTTATATAGGAGAATTTAATATATAATATATAATTTATCTTATTTTTATTTATAAATTTTAAATAACTATTATGTAAAATAATAACAATGACACCTATTGAATTATCCAACTTTGACATACATATACATTTGATTTAGAAAAATCTAATCTTGCTAAGATTTTAGTATTATTTTCTGTTTTCCATAGAATTTATATAGTTCTTTTTTCTTGAAGGTTTATGTGTTCAAATATTTAGGTTTTTATTGAATGTCTTATTGATGTTGTGTACCACTGTATATATAATCAATGATTCATGTTGATTCGTATTTAATTTTGTTAGGAAGCTGTAATGATCATGCAAAACTATTTTTTTTCTTCTCCATCATGTATTCCAAGAGTTTTATGTTATATATTTTTTTATTTTTCATTGTTTTAATTGTAAAATCGAGTTGTTATAGATTTTTTTAAATTGATAATTGATAATGATTACCTTTTTTACATATATTGTTAATTATTATTTTTTTTAATTTACTTTTAAATTTTTAAATCATATTAACATTTTCTGATTTAATAAATATGTTGATTTAGATCAATCAGATTGAATTTACTTTTTTGTTGGACATAATTTGTTAAATTATCTTTTAATGTTTTAATTATACTTAATAATTTTTGGTTTGATTTAAAAGCTGATTTGGACCAATTAAATAAAATTTTTCCATCATAATCATATTTAACATTTTTTTATTTAATGAATATGCTGATGTAGACCAATCAGATCAAATTTTTTAATCTCATGTGGAGGCTCTCAATCCACATCAACTTTTATAGGATAATTTATTGGCTTTAGCAATTGATTTTAGACTTTTAGTATGGACCGCCGGCCTGATCGGTTTAGTTAAGTTGGTTCTGTTATGTTTGGTTTATCAGTTTGATTAAGTTGAAATCATCATCCCCTTCATGTCAAACCACGAACCCTAAACCCCTAATTTCGGAGTGAGGTTTCTCACTTTGAATCATCATCCGATGAGATCATCATCACCTCATCGGAGTGATCGAATTCGATTCAGTACCATACTCTCATTTGAGTTGATCTCTCATGTTATGGCAGTAACGAGGCCAATTTCGTCAAGGAAATCGTCGACAAGGTCCTGCAAAGGCTCAGCACCATTCAATGTCTGGAAGAAGAACCTAAAATGGCTACTCTCTCTGGAATCGAATATCGGCTTAAGCAAGTCGAGGAAAAGATGTGTTTTGATCGCGGCGATGAAACTCGAATCGTCGGAATCGTTGGGATGCCTGGTATTGGAAAAACCACCCTCGCGACGGAGCTATTCAACAAGTACAGATGTAAGTTCAATCGTTGCGTGAATTTTCTGAGGATCGGTGAGAATTTTTTGGATTTTGGTCCTGGTCGCTTGCGGAAGATGTTCCTCGAAGGTTTACTTCAGAAACCAATTGCGAAACTTAGTGACGAGGCCACGTATGATGATTACTTGAAGAGAAACAAAGTCTTTGTTGTTCTTGACGATGTGAGTAGCGCTACAGAGATAGAAGTTCTTCTTGGGAACCGAAACTGGATCAAGAAAGGAAGCAAGATCGTTATCATAACCCGTGACAGAGCATTCATCACTGAGTTTGATCCAAATCCTTATGTGGTTCCAAGATTGAATCCTAGAGATGGGTGGAAGCACTTCAGCTTTTACGCCTTCGAAGCTGGCATCTGCGATCTGGAGAGGAGAGATTACGTTAAAATGTCTAGAGAGTTTGTGGATTACGCTAGAGGCAACCCATTAGCTCTCAGCTTACTGGGTAGGGATCTTGTTGGGAAAGGTGAGGTTTTCTGGAAAGCAACGCTTGATGCATTGGCAAAATGCCCCAACCAGAGCATTCAAGAACTTTTGAAGATAAGTTATAATGAACTTAGTGAAAAGGAGAAAGACGCCTTCCTTGACATTGGGTGTTTCTTCAGATCAGAGGATGAGTATTATGCGAGAAGCTTACTGGGTTCGAGGGATCATGACTCTGAAGCTGCGAGTCAGATAACGGATCTTGCCTTCAAGTCTTTGATAAGCATCTCTGGGGGACGCGTAGAGATGCATGATTTACTACATACATTTGCCCTGGAACTTTGTTCATTATCAACGAATCAAGAGAAATGTAGGCTGTGGAAATGTCAAGACATTATCGCTGCGCTGCAGGACAAAATGGTGAGGCTAATAAATCAGTTAACTTTCATATGGTATAAGATTGACAATTTTGAGTCTAATTTTATAGTTATTTCTTATGGTACCAGATTAATAACTCAGTTAAAACCGTGAGAGGCATTTCTCTAGACATGTCTGAAGTAACGGACATGCCTTTAGACACTTCGGTCTTTACAAAAATGTGCAATCTCTTGTACCTTAAATTCTACAACTCTACTTGTCCTCGGGAATGTGAAGGCGACTGCAAGTTAAACTTCCCTGATGGGCTCTCGTTACCACTAGAAGAGGTCCGGTATTTCGACTGGTTGAAATTCCCGTTGGAGGAACTTCCATCGGACTTTAACCCGAAGGATCTTGTTGATCTTAGGCTGCCTTACAGCAAGATTACACAAGTCTGGAAAGTTCCCAAGGTTAGTATAGTATGTCTAGTTTCCTTTGTTGTTGTTGTTATAGTTGCGTAGATTACTGAACTGGTGGTTAAATTCTATGTGGTTTGAATAGGATACACCGAAACTGAAGTGGCTCGATCTTAACAACTCGAGAATGTTGCAGAAGGTGTCAGGGTTTTCAAAGGCCCCAAATCTTTTGAGAGTGAATCTTGAAGGTTGCACAAGTCTAGATTGCTTTTCATTTAAAGAGATGCAAACTATGGAGAGTCTTGTTTTCTTGAACCTCAGAGGATGCACAAGTCTCTGGCATCTACAGGACATGAATCTGATATCATTGAAAACTCTTATCCTCAGCGGCTGTTCGAACCTTTGTAAATTTCCGCTGATTTCTGAAAATCTAGAATCTCTGTACTTGGATGGAACTGCAGTAAGGGATCTCCCTTCAGACATTGTGAAGCTTGAGAGACTTGTCTCATTGAATCTGAAAGATTGCAGGATGCTCGTGAGTCTATTTATTTTCATCTCAAGTCTCAAACTCCACTACTAACTCCCAAAATCATTTAGTTTTCTGATTTTTTTTTTCCTTGCAGAATTTTGTCTCTCGAGCTTTGATCGGGACTTGCTATCCTGGATACGAAGTACCTCCATGGTTTAGTCACCAAGCATATGGTTCAGTGTTAGAACCACAGCTACCTCCACATTGGTGCGACAATAAGTTTCTTGGGATAGCTCTGTGTGCCATTGTCTCGTTTCGTGACTACAGTGTTAAAAGCAACCGTCTCGTGGCTAAATGCATCTGTGAGTTTGAAAATTTAGATGCACCAGGTAGCCGGTTTAGTGTTCCTGTTGAAGGTTGGTTTGAAACAGGGGATGAGCCGCGTACAATTGAGTCAGACCATGTCTTTATCGGCTATATAAGTTGGTTAAACATCAAGAAACGACGAGAAGAAATGTTCAAGACAGGATGTGTTCCTACTAAAGCAATCCTTAGGTTCCAAGTGACAGATGGGAGGACTGGTGAAGACATTGCACAATGTGAAGTGGTGAAGTGTGGGTTTTGTTTGGTGTATGAACCCGATGATGAAGTTTCTTCGGCGGCAGAGAGGAGGAGGATGAATGGTGAGAGTCAAGAAGATGAAGTACGCACTTTAATATCTACAGAAGATGGTCCAATTGAAACTCCAACAACAGCTAAAAGTGAGAACAGTTTCTCATAGGGAAGTTTTCAATCCTGGTTTCATTTCGGTTTTGGACCGCAATGTATGGGTTTAACCAAACTAATACTATATCAATATCGGTTCGGATATCTTTGGATAGGTGAATCGGTTAATACCTTTATCCTACAGATTCTTTAAAAGTTCGTAGGTTTTAAGTTGTTTTTTCCTACGTCATAGGATTTAAGTAATCATGCGAAATGTATATTTATAATGGCCGACTCGCTATCGAGTCTTTGACCCACCTTTGAGCTTGAACATAATCACATCTATTTTTGACCACAAAGTCTATGGCTTCCACTATCGTTGGATACTTGGATTCAATGGCATCAGAGACAACTGAACAACGTAATTAAATAAAACCGATTTCTCTTTATCAACTTCAAACTCGCTCTGTTTCAAGTGCGCAATTTTTTTTAGTTGTTGCCTCAAAGTCTCTTGAATTAGATTATTACTAAAAACGTTGTTACTCTTTTAATGAAAACCAATAAGAACAAAACCAAATAGCAGCTCAAATTAAACGATGTTGCATTTGAATGTTATTTTTAGTATTTTATCACAAACTTTGATTAAGTTTTTCAAAGTAGTAACCACTTGATAAATAATCAAATAAAAAGATGAATAAAAATGTAGAAGAATTGACTAGAAAAAAAATAGAAACAAAAAAAATAATTGTAGAAAACAATGAAGCAAAACTAGAAAGAAAAAAAGAATAAAATACCTAAATGATATATTAAAAAAAGGATAATTGCAGATAAATCCTTAAACTAAATTAATTTTGTAAAATCAATTCTCACATTAAAAAAATATAGGTAAATTCATTTACTTTAAAAGTAACCCGCAATGTAACTTTTTCCTATATTACCAAGAGACGTTTACATGTAGACACACTTAATTGCTAAGTGATTACGTTTTACACACATTTTTCAAGTGGGGGCACTTCTTAAAAAAATTTGTACTCTTAGTTGATTGTTTTACCCTTAATGAAAAGGTAAAAATTTAGCTAATGAATTATGCAGCGGCGGCCACTACTGGAGATTTTGTTGCAGACTGATCAGAGATTGTTAAACGGGAGCATTCTGCATTTTCTGTTTGGTTAATTTGCCGAAGTATGATGATGATGAAGCAAGACTCGTTTTTTTTTTTGAGGGGGGGGGGGGGGGGGGGGGGGGGGGGGGGGGGGGGGTTTGACTGTCGACGATGTTGGTAAGTTGTTGCCGGCAGCAAATCTGCAGTTCTTCAGATTGCAGTCCTTCAACGCTCCAGGTTAAGTTAATTTGTTTGCCCAATCCATTGTTTTGATAGGAAACAACAAGATGATGTTAACGGCAAAAAAATATAAATGATGGCGGTGTTGTTGCTTATAGTGTGTTTTTCAGCAGTTGAAGTATATATGAAGATTTGTTTGCCAAATCCATTGTTTTGATAGGAAACAACAAGATGATGTTAACGGCAAAAAAATATAAATGATGGCGGTGTTGTTGCTTATAGTGTGTTTTTCAGCAGTTGAAGTATATATGAAGATTTGAAGGTAATTTGTTGTTCTGGATATTAGCACCTTAATCGGACTTTAGTTTGCTTTCATGAAAATATTATCATTTTTTAGCCATTCCCAGATTCGAGTTAGATCTGGTTTCAGTAAAGACGAAGGAAGGAGATGGAAGGAATAGTTGATTGTGTGATTTTTTGTGTAATTTTTGACCATGATTGAGTATCCATGTAATATCGTCCATGTGGAAGAAACATGAATCGATAAACTATATGTGTACCATTTTTATGTTTGTCCATAACAAAATATCCACGACTATGGTGTCCAGTAGTTGTGGATACACTCTCATGGACACAATATGATGGATATAAATACAAATGTGTGATGTGTTAGAGTTTTTGAATGTTTGTGTTTTGCATTGACTCCTCTTGTTATGATTGGTGGCTTGTGCGAAATTCTGCTCTGATTACATCATAAAATCAAATTTACTAAAATTTATAGTTGCCAATAAACTAGACGTTTTCTTTGTCCATCATTGTATAATCACAATTAATAAAGTAGACAACTAAAAGTGGACAAACCATCATAAAGTTCAGTAACCATTTACAACACTTCTCGTGTCTGGGATAATGATCGTGGATAGGAGAGATTGTATATTTACTTGTATCGGAACATGTATTCTTTTCACATGGACATGATTATGTGGACGAATAGAAAACAGTAGTGAAGATGTATATGGACATGATCCATGTCATTACATACATACCACTACATCCATATATAACCATCCACAACGCCACATACATTTATATCGTTGCATCCATATATGACCATCCACATTATATAATATATCATATCCATATAGTAAGAAGAGTAAGATTTTTTGTTGGAACTTTGTTTAGAAAGAGTAATAAACAATCAATCATAATAAGATATTTGTGTGGACGTTTATATATGGACATGTGGTTGTGGATGAATGTGCGATTATAGGTATTTCTCTTTTTTTTTTAAGTTGAAAGATAGTTCCTAAACTTGGTGGCTGTGGATGAATGTGAAATGTATGTGACTGATATGTGAGGTTGTCAGAATAGATTGCCTTGGACGGATTTTTATGGACATAAATTCTTCTCCTACGTCACCATCTTTATGTTTTCAGTCACTTGACTCATTTGGATCATAAGCAACCTATAGTTTGTTCTTTTTTTTTGCTACTTTTATATAAGAGATATATAGTTTGGTTCTACTAATGGTTCTGTATTGAACTATATGTTGATGACCTGTTTGTTTAAATTATCAAGGATCGCAATAATAGAGATATAGTAAGGCATATGGATCTGATTCATTCTCTTATGATAGAGATTGTATGCATAACGCTAGTCATGGTTAAGGTTCTAATAATGGAAATAGACCAATTTGTAATGTCAGCATGGGACTATACTCTTGGGCGTGGACATTTTTTTCGTGGACAGGTTTTCATGGATCATGGTCAAAGCTGAAATTAGGTCGACAAAACTCAGGGACATGTGCAGATTTTCGTGGATATTATGTCTTGATCTACTCATAAATAAGTTTCATGGACATATTACTTTGTAGTGCAAATTATTAGAGATCTAGAGCTCTTGACGGAATAAATGTGCGAGACTAGATTTTATATGGACTTGACCAATGTCATCATGCTCTGTTTCGTATGAGCTTTGTAGTCCAACGCATTAGAATTTGGTACAAGTAAATATTATAGGTTATAGAACAAAAGAGATTTGATGATGAAATTATGATTCTTATAAGTTGACGTCAACAAGTGTTTTGAGTCAAAGAATTTTAGATTTCAATTCAGTGGAGAGTTGCGAAATCGTTTGTGGGCTCGAATAATATATGGCACAAAAAGTGCATGAAGAAATTTAGAATCAAATATAATAACATTTATATATTATTTAGTTTGAAACAAAGAGATTCTACATTGTAGTTTAGTGAAGAACAAAAAAAACTCATAAGTACTAATCATAATCTAAAGAACACTAGACATTAAATTAGCTGCAAACAACAAGAAAGAAGAACTGAATCTATTAGTTGTCACTGGAAGGTTGGGATGCACCAGCCTTTTTGGGAACAAAAAGATTGTGAATGTTAGACATCACGCCTTTATTGGCAATGGTCACATCCTCAATGTTTCTCACCGCAAATTCTAGTCTTCTTGTTATCCGAACCAACTCAAGAACTTGCACATATAAGTTCACAATTGAGAGAATTTATATTTTTTCGTACACAAACATGTACATGCAATTGTGTCTAAGATAATATGTTCACAAATTCATTTCCACACAAACAATAACGTGATTGAAAATTTATATCACCCAAGCATATCATTAGGTGTCTATGTGACTATGTCCATGTTAATATGTCCACAAATATATATATATTTACACAAACTGTTTGAGAATCCATATCACCTAACCATATCAATATATCCATAAATATATATACACACAAACATTTATCCACACTTACCTGTCCATCAAACAGTAGTAGGGTATGTTGCTGCAAATGACGAAAGAGATGGAGTTACAAATTTTTGTTGATGAATCGGAGACAACCCATGAAATCGACGAGCAACCAAAGCTTCTTCTTCGATAAGAATCTGTGTAATAGTTCTTCGTTTAAAATAGTTCACATGCGATCTTAACTTCTCAGTTGTCTTCACCACCGAGATTCTTCTCTAGATTTTAGCATCTTCTGTCAGAATAATAAGTGTTGTCGGCTTGCGATGTGATTTTATGATCAAGCATCTATCCCATTAAGCCATATGTTTCTCAGACGAGATCTTACCAATGAATCTGTAATCTGATTTCTTGTCTTCTCTCATGTTCTTATGATGACTCAGTTTCCTTTTTCTAATGTCAAGCTCAAAATTGATATGATTCCTTCAAATATTTGCAGTTGTTCTTCTTGATTTGGTTTTCCCAATCTAGATCTACAAATTCTCATCATCAGAATTTTTTTTTGTGTTCGTGACGAGATCCGCAAAATATAAAAAGAATATTTACGGTTTGGTTAAAAGTTGTATTTTATTACTGAGATTTAGTAACAATAGTTAATCACAAATAACAACAAAGAAAAGTTCATCTTTTCATCTGGTGAAAGTGTGCCTATATCAAAAAGTGTCTATTTCTGTAATTGAAGTTTGGTATTGTGTCTGTGAATGTAATTTTCTCTATTACCAATGTGAATATTTAATATTTTTGTTAAGTTTTTTGGTCAAAAATAAAAATAAAGAATCAATTTTAAAATTTTAAGAATTTGAGATTCGAACCCTCACAACCTCTTGAAAAATCAATGATATAATTTACCAGTTGGGCTAAATAAATTATTTGTTTTTTTTTTGGCTGCAAATACTCCATATATTAAAAATCAGTTCCAAAGATACTGGGCTCGTGAGTCAGCCACTCTGGAAGCAAAGAGTTTACATGGGAGAAAATTAAACCATGGCCTTGAGCGCTCTTAGCGAGACGATCAGCCCGGACATTGAGAGAACGTGGGGTAAAAATTATAGAAAGATTGAAAAAAACTTGGTGCAGTAACTCTAGTTCTTCAAGTTCTGTTGCTAGTGCCGGCCACTCTTCGTCTTCCTCAATCAACTTAACCAATTGTAGACAGTCCGTTTCAACCACTAGTCCAGAGATCTGCAAAGGAATCAAAACTTTCATAGCCCATAAGATTGCTTCCAATTCGGCATGAATTGGAGAGAGAGTCTGTGCTGTCACCGTTAGTCCATAAAGTTTGCTTCCATCTGCCATATCAAG